TTGTGTATTTATATGTAAATATACAAAGTACATATGTAATAACAAACTTTTATTTTGGCTGTAATGACTTTGTAATTACATCTGAGATGTAATATGTTCTTACAAACGTTTATGTTGTGTGCCATTACTGTGTCGTTTCTTTGTAATTACATTGTAAATTACATCCAAGATATAGATAATAAATGTAAATATTTCTTTGTATATTTCACGTACATAATTTGTGTATTTATAAGTAAATATACACAGTGCATATGTAATTCCAAAACTTTTATTTTGGATGTAATTACTATTTAAAAACAATACTTTGTCATTACATGTAATTGCATTGTAGTAAAATAATGTTTATACATTTGAATGTTTCTGCTTATTGCATGTACAGTATTTATTTATACTTGTATACGTAAATATACACAGTACATGTGTAATTACAAAACATTATCTTGTGTGTATCTACTGCTATAGCATTGCAGTTACATCCAAAATAATATTTATAAATGATTGATTTTATTGTATATTTCATTTTCACAATTTACACAGTACACATCTACTTACAAACTTAATTACTGTGTAATTACATAGTAGTTACATTGCTCTTGCATTGTAATTACATCCAAGATAATATTTATAAACTTGAATGCTTCTTTGTATATTTCATGTACAGAATTTGTGTATTTATACGTAAATATATGCAGAGCAAATGTAAATACAAACATTTATTTTGGATGTCATTACTATGTAATAAAAATGTTACAATGTTGTATTTACAATGTTGTAACAGTTTAGTAATATTGTAATTACTACATTGTTTTAACATTGTATTTTGTCGTTAAAAACGTTTATGTTGTATGTAATTATGAGTCACATACAATGTTGTTACAAAGTTCATGCACACAGAGACACACACAGCTGACACGCAAAGTGGACGTGTTTAACTTTGCACCGTTTTTGCAATCAGCTGTGACAGGATGCATGTCAATATCAACTGCTGTATGAATATCCGTTAGGTTAATGTACAAAATAAACCTGATTTAATGTCCACAAACCAGGATTAAAGCGTCTTCTTTTATAAGTGCACTGACATGCGGCTGCGGTGATAAAGACAGTAAAATCACTGTAATTCATTACAAACATGCAATATTTTACAAACGCTGTAAACTTGTAAAACTCATTCTTGATCACATTTGATGGTGAATGATGATCACAGAGAGCTGAACAGATCTTTTAATCCCAGTTGCTTTGTGAATGCCTTGTCTAATTGACATGATTATACGTGTTACAGAGACATGTTAATATGCGGCTGTCAATCAATTCAGTGGGCGGGGAAACTGCACTCCTACGTTAAGTTGCTGTGGGCCTCAAAATGGAAGGGATTTGGAGCCTATTTTAACTCCAGGAAATTTTTAATTAATTAATATTTTAGTGATGCATTAGTAAATGTTGAACTAATCATAAATGCATGTATAAATAAATGTACAAGTATATCTCATTATTAGTTCATGTTAGTAAATACATTAACTAATGAAGCCTTATTGTAAAGTGTGACCGAATACTATTAGCCAATATGTATTTAATAAAACCTATATTAATATCTAATAAAATAGATTTCATAGCTAAATGTTAAAACAGCTTGCTAACATACCACAACTACAACTCCGCACACACTTGACTGCAGCCATGAGAAACTTTGTGGGTTAATTAACTGGAATAGTGTGTGGGATACAAACAAAGTCTCTTTGGGTCCAGATTAAAAACTGGAACGTGTGCATACTGTTAAAAAACATAAACCCAATCAACTTAAATGTATTACCCTAGGACAAAATCCCAAAATCCCTCAAGAGATGCTTTTAATGGCTAGTTTTCTTATCCATTTCCACAGAACTCTGGCAACAGAACCCATCTCCTCATCTTTGTTGTGCAATACACTGATGTAACACTTACAAAACCAGTAATGATGCACACATTTGAGACTTATGGTTTGAATTATCACTTTAGTAAACTTCAGTAAACTTCACTTAACTTCAGTAAAACTAGGTCTCATATACAGTTGAAGTCAAATTATTATTAGATTTAATTTTGAGTTTTTCCTTAGGACTAAATAACAGAGGTTTTTAATTCATAATAACTCATTTATTTAGTCTTTGCCATTATGACAGTACTTCATATTTTACTAGTTATTTTGTGAGATGTTGTATTCAGTTAAAGTTCAGTTTAAAGTTTACTAGGTTAATTAAGTCAACTAGGCATCTTTAGACAACAGTGGTTTATTCTGTAACCAGTAAAATATATTTTTTGGCTACTAATATTGACCTTAAATTTATTTTAAAAATAATTTCTATATTTTAAAATAATTTCTTATTTTAAAAAGAAACTGCTTTTCTTTCAGTCAATCAAATAAATAAATAAATAAACTAAACAATTTTATTCATGAGAAAACATATGGGAAAAACCAACACAATCTCAAGGCAATTAGTAACTTTTGATTTATTGGCTAATTTGTATGAATTCGTACAATCCATTCATACAATTTAGTACGATTTGCTTATCCTCCAATGACGGTTGGGTTTAGAAGGTGTGGTTCCCGGTTAGGTTGGGTGCCACGCCTTCTTTAAAAAAAATTACATTTTCGTATGACTGAACTCATACAAATTTATACGAATTAGCCACTAAACTGACAAAACTTAGAACAGTTAAGTGTCCTTGTGATAACTGGCAGGAAACTCTGTGAAAATTTCTTTGCCCTGGAAAAACAACAATAATTATTTCACAAAAGCGCTAATAACAATGTCGGTACATGTGCTGAAAAAGTTTTAATAATGTTTAAATATTTGACTTTGGATAAATTGCTTTAAATTAATTGTGTTTCATTTGTCTTACTAAATATGTAATATTAAATAACTATTTAAATAAAAGAAATCCTTTCTTTTGATTAAAAGGAGATTTCTGGACTGAATGTGCTTGTAGCATCTGCTGTCTTTGATTAAGCATTGGGTGAAGACAAAATTACCATATCACGACAGAACAATACATGAAATAAAAAAATATGATTTGTTTAAAAAGTGAATAAATTAAATTTCAGAGAGCATACACTTATTTTCCTTCGGCTTTGACCCTTTCTTAATCAGGGGTGGTCACAGCAAAATGAAGCGCCGACTAATCTAGCATATTTTTTACACAGCAGATGCCCTTCCAGCTGCAACCCAGTATTGGAAAACACCTATACACACTCTCAGACACATATGGCCAGTTTAGCTTATTCAATTCACCTGTTGACCTTATTCTTCAATGCAGAAGTGCGCTCATTTTTGCAATTGTTTTAGAACTTCTGATTCAGTTGCTTATGGGAGAAATGACTACCAAAAATAAACGGCAGAAAACGGACAAACTACTTGCTCTACAAGCGTTTGCATGACTATACAGACAAAGTAGAATAAAATAATAAGAAATTATCAGTTTGCAACATTCATTCTTTCATTCATTTTCTTGTCGGCTTATTCCCTTTATTAATTTGGGGTCGCCACAGCGGAATGAATTGCCAACTTATCCAGCAAGTTTTTATGTAGCGGATGCCCTTGGGTTGTTGGTGGGGAGGGGATTGTCTCAAACGAAAGTGAAGACCAGGGGGTGGTGTCTCCATCCATGCCGCCCCTAGCAAGATGCCACCCTGGCCTATCATCCACATTGCTGGTAAGTGTGAAAAGGAACGACATCATACTGCCCCGTAGCGTTGGTTTTAAAGACAAAATGCCATATGTATGTCTGGCTACAGAAGTGTACAGAAATGTATATAGGGCTACGTTTTCTAGAATGAGTCTACGTTGCTTTATCATTCATCATTCATTCATTATTTTGTCGGCTTAGTCCCTTTATTAATCTGGGGTCACCACAGCGGAATGAACCGCCAACTAATCCAGCACGTTTTTACATGGTGGATGCCCTTTCAGCCACAACCCATCTCTGGAAGACATCCACAAACACTCATTCACACACACACTCATACACTACGGACATTTTAACCTACCCAACTCACCTGTACCGCATGTCTTTGGACAATGGGGGAAACCGGAGCACCCGGAGGAAACCCACGCGAATGCAGAGAGAACCTGACACAGAAAAGCCAACTGAGCCGAGGATCGAACCAGCAACACACAAACTTTTTGCTGTGAGGCAACAGCACTGACTACTGCACCACTGCTTTGCCCTTTCTGTTGCTTCTAGGACAATATAATTTTTTTTTTAATGTTCAATCCACTTTAATTTGTTACTTTAACCTAATTGATTTGTGTTTAGAAAACTTGAATGACTTGTGTGGAACCAAGCATTTTTTTTACAGTGTAAAATAAAATGTTATGAAAAAGTACATGATGTGGATTTGCCACACAAGTGCTGTAAAAGTTTGAATATAAACCTGTAAAGTGCCTGAAAAGGGTTTAAATGTGAACACCTTGTAATAATTCCAGCCTTGATGCAAACGCTATATCTGAACAAACAGAACTATGCCGTGTTCAATCAAAGAGCAGGCACACTTTAAGTTTTCAGTGTACACAGAGCACAGGCAGAACAGCACGCATGCTCTAATTCTCAAGCTTTTCCAAGTTTGCCGTCTGCCTTTTGTTGTTTTATGCAAAAAGTCAGAGTCTGGATAGGACACACCGAGGGCCTTATGCAAATGACGTGTCTATTGGCTGCTGTGGGATACTGACGAGCTCAATGCGCCTCTACTAACTAACCCACTTTGCTAAATGAGTTCCTCTGAACATTTTTAAAAAGGCTTCTCTCAGTTTGTGAGTTGAGAAAAAGCAGGAGACATAATTCAACAGACCTTTTAGGTAAGTGGATATTTTTTATACATACTGTATAAATACAAATCTTCTTGGTCTCTCAGATTCCTGCAGTCTTCTCAAGCAGTGACCGTTTTGTGGAATCATATTGTTTTGCATCGTACCTGTTCACAGCTCTCTATATTGACAGATTTAAATGTTTTTGACTAGAAGAGATTAGGGTGGAGAGACAGAGTGATTGTGGTGAATGCTCAACGGGGATACCCTTGCTCTTATGAATATTACAACGAGCCCTTTACATAAAGGAGAGCATTTGAAAGCTGGACACATTAGAATAAACCTCAAGATCATTTTACTGGCAGGGCCATGGCATGAATTGCCCCAGTGTCTGCATAAAGTTGTGATCCTGTAGGAAAATCAGCTGTATTTATCATTACAGATATTAAGATGAGCACAGACGCTGTTGAGCAGACAGAATCTCAGCATGAACAAGCTGGTAAGGAGCATTTTCACGCTTTCAGTGTTGCTTTGAAACGGTTTCTTATCTAATGTATGATATTTAGTGGAAACAACACACCTATGTGTGTGTATGTATGTATGTGTGTGTGTGTATTTATATATATACTGTAAAGAAATCTTAAATATTTTTAGTTATAAATTAAGAATTAAACTTAGTAAATTAACAAACCACATTCATTGTCATTAATTTTTGTTGGGCTCATTATTTATTGATCTAAAGTCTTAATGTTAATGAGTTGTAGCTTAAAGTAAAGTGTGAAATTGTTTGTTACAGTGATGACATACACAACATTTATACACATTTCGAAGTATTCTGTGCTATATTGAAAGTATTTGATTAACCTAAACCTAACTATCGCTAACTAACTATTAAAAAGCAGCTAATTAATCGTTTATTGAGCTAAAATCTTAGTTAATGGTTTGTTAATGAGTTGTAGTTTAAAGTAAAGTGTGATCTTTTTTGTTACAGTGATAATGTTCACAATATTTACACATTTCAAAAGTATTCTGTGCTATATTGGAGGTATTTGATTAACCTAAATCCAACTACTATCTTACTAACTATTTATAAAAAGCTAATTTGTATTGAGATCAAAATATCAGTTAAAAGTTTGTTAATAGTGTGAGTTGGTGCACTTAAAGTAAAGTGTAAACTTTTTTGTTACAGTGATGATGTTCACACCAATTGTACATATTTAGAAAGTATTCTGTGCTATTGGAGATATTATTTGATTAACCTAACCCCAACTACAATCTTACTAACTATTAATGAGCAGCTAATTAGAAATGTATTGAGCTAAAATCTTAGTTAATGGTTTGTTAATAGTGTTGTTAATAGAGTTGTTGCTTAAAGAAAAAGTGTGATCACAGTGATGTTGTTCACAATATTATAGACACTTATAAAGTATTCTGTGCTATTAGAAATATTATTTTATTAACCTACCCCCGATCTTACTAACTATTGATAAGCAGCCAAATTTGTATTTTTTTTTTATTAAAACTCTTAGTTTTAGTAATCTGTGGTCTATTGGAAGCATTATTTGATTACCCTAAACCCTTACTGACAATTAATAAGCAGCAGTTTAGCAGTTTATTGAGTTAATCATCTTACACTGTTAAAAATGATGGTTTCCACACAATTTAATCATGTTGTCCCAACATAAATCATAAACTTAAAAGAAAAAAACTAAGAATTGTGTTGATTCAGCTCATTTTAAATAAGTAGTTGGAACAAGTAGCAAAACTCATTTTTGAGTGTAGTTAATGGTGTGTTAATAGCTTGAACTGTGTGGTATCCATTATTTGATAGAATTTTATAATTTTATTGGATTACTTTTTTTCCATTCCAATGGGAGTTTGTTCATTGTTTGATTGATGCTTTCTCACAAGTTGTCCATCTTCCAGTCATTTGTTTTTCCGACATTTTATGTGCGGTTGAATGTAAATACATGTGACTCACATTCACATCAAATGAGGATCATCATTTCACGAAGTGCCGCAGGGCTTCTTCACAACAACAGTTTGTGGTTTTGACCGGAACTTTAACTCTTTGTGTTGATGGCAGTATGTTCAAACTGTAGGAGTCATACTTTTTTGACTATATATATATATATATATATATATATATATATATATATATATATATATAACATTGAAGTCAAAATTATTAGCCCCCCTTTGAATTTTTCTTTTTTAAATATTTCGCAAATCATGTTTAACAGAGCAAAGAAATTTTCACAGTATGTCTGATAATATTTTTTTTTTCTGGAAAAAGACTGATTTGTTTTATTTTGGCTAGAACAAAAGCTGTTTTAAATTTTTAAACAACATTTTTAGAACAAAGTTATTAGCCCCTTTAAGCTATATTTTTCAATAGTCTACAAAACAAACCATTGTAAATAACTTGCCTAATTACCCTAACCTGCCTAGTTAACCTAATTAACCTAGTTAAGCCTTTAAATGTCACTTTAAGCTGTATAGAAGTATCTTGAAAAATATCTAGTAAAATATTATTTACTATCATCATGGCAAAGATAAAATAAATCAGTTATTTGAGATAAGTTATTAAAACTATTATGTTTGGAGATTTGTTGAAAAAATCTTCTCTTCATTAAACGGAAATTAGGAAAAAAAAACAGGGGGATAATAATTTAGGGGGGCTAATAATTCTGACTTCAACTGTATATTTTGATCATCTTTTATGTTCCAGGCATTGACAAAAATCAGTGAAACAAATATTCAAAAAAGAAAGTGTAACAGACATATAATTAGCATCTTGACAGTCAGATGAAAAAAAAGACAATATTTTTGTAGTCAGTATTGCTGTTTTACACTATTTATTGGTGTTAGGATGACAGTTTTATTTGATGATGATTATTATTATTATTATTATTATTATTATTATTATTATTATTATTATTATTAAGTTGAGGTATTAAGTAAACTTTACAAATTTAAGTGGATTGAACATCAAAAAATAACCTCCATAACTGTGTTGTTTCAGCTCATTTTAAAAAAAGTTATTCAAACAAACAACAGCGTCATTTTTTGTGTTTATTTTATTATTTATCACACAGAGTAGCTGAGCTTAGTAGATGCGTGCAGATTGATGAATGATACATCTGTACCAGGATGTATGTGGCGGTTTGTTTGCTGTGAAGCGCTCATATGGCCTCAGGCGATACTGAATCATGCTCTGCTTACAATGGCTTCTGTAGGGAACAGTCCTGTTTAAATGAGGAAGCTGAAAGAAATGAGAATTCAGAGAGAGAGAGAGCCCTGTATTGTCTCTGAATGTTAAAACATATATACATATATATGTGTGTCATTTATGTTCCACCACCTCTGCGGTGTCAGGTGTTTGGTTATGGATTAGGGTTTGGGTTAGACCTATCAGATGTCCCAGCAGGTCATGTGATAACTATAAATATTTGGGTTGTAGAAGAAACAAGAAAATGCATGTTTACAAATAGTCTTTATTCTGAATAAAGCCTACTTGATCATTATCGAAAGCTCATCTAAATCCAGGGTTAAACCAGTTCATTGAAAATTAGATAAGTAAAATCATAAATTATGTATTTACATATTCATATATATGAATTAATTGATTAATTAATTTTCTTTTCGGCTTAGTCTCTTTATTAATCTGGGGTCGCAACAGCGGAATTGACCGCTAACTTATCCAGCACGATTTTAACCTTCCAGCCGCAACCCATCTCTAGGAAACATCCATACTCATACACCACAGACAATTTAGCCTACCCAGTTCACCTGTACCACATGTCTTTGGACTGTGGGGTGCAGTGGGTAGCACAATTGCCTCACAGCAAGAAGGCTGCTGGTTCGAGACCCGGCTGGGTCAGTTGGCATTTCTGTGTGGAGTTTGCATGTTCTCCCCGTGTTGAAGTGGGCTTGCTCTGGTTTCCCCCACAGTCCAAAGGCATGTGATATAGGTGAATTGGGTATGCTGAATTGTTCAGTTTATGTGAGTGAATGAGTGTGTATGGATGTTTCCCAGTGATGAGTTGCAGCTGGAAGGGCATACGCTGCATAAAACATATGCCGGATAAGTTGGCAGTTCATTCAACTGTGGCAACCCCAGATTAATAAAGGGACTAGGCCGAAGAAAAATGAATGAATGAATATAAAATAAAATTAAAACAAATAATCATTCATTCATTCATTCATTCATTTTATTTTCGGTTAAGTCCCTTTATTAATCCTGGGTCGCCACAGCAGAATGAACCGACAACTGAACAATTTAGCCTACCCAATTCACCTGTACCACATGTCTTTGGACTGTGGGGGAAACCAGAGCACCCAGAGGAAACCCACATGAAGGCAGGGAGAACATGCAAACTCCACACAGAAACACCAACTAAGCCGAGGTTCGAACCAGCAACCCAGCGACCTTCTAGCTGTGAGGCGACAGCACTACCTACTGCGCCACTGCCTCGCCTAAAACATAAAATATAAAATAAATAAAAACACAAAATACAAAGTAAAAACATAAATTATGAAAAACTAAATATAAAATAAAAACATAAAATATAAAATCAAATCAAATAAGACATAAAATATAAAAGAAAAAACATAAAATATGAAAAACTAAATATAAAATAAAAACATAAAATATAAAATCAAATCAAATAAGACATAAAATATAAAAGAAAAAACATAAAATATGAAAAACTAAATATAAAATAAAAACATAAAATATAAATAAAAAAACATAAAACATTAAATAAAAACAAAAAATATAAAATAAAATAAAAACATAAAATATTAAATAACATAAAAACATAAAATAAAAACATGAAAGATAAAATAAAACAAAATATAAAAAAATAAAATAAAAAATATAAAAACATAAAATATAAAATAAAATAAAAGCATAAAATATTATATAAAACAAAAACAGAAAATATAAAATGAAAACAGAAAAATATCAAATAAAACCAGAAAATATAAAATAAAATGAAAAAAAAAACTGAAAATATCAAATAAAATAAAAACAGAAAATATAAAATAATAACAGACAAAATATTAAAAGTAAAATAAAAAAGTGCAACAATTACTAAAATATTAATTTTAGTCTTTTACTATTAGTTTTAAATAGTTTTTATTCTTATTTTGGACTTTGTATGTATAACATGACAGCATTACAATTTATTCTGACTTTAACATTTTAAAGGGATGTGGTATAATTAAAACACAGGTAATGGGTTCCAGCATGTTTTATAGTCACATTATTGTTATTGGAGCGTGCATAAGCATGTATGTGTGTGTGTGAGAGAGAGAAACACAGATGCACCTGGAGGTCTGTAAGTATTCAAATGTGAAGGCCTCTAAAGGTTGCCATGGAAACTCATTTGCATGATCTGATGATTTTCATACTGGAAGTTTAGCTCAGGAGAGGCTTGATTTCCATATTATGGGGGGAGTGAGTGGCACTGCAACCACAGGCTCATAGAGCTCCATTTGAAATTCAAATCAAGAGAGATTACCTGCCATTGACGACCTTTGAACCCCCAACTAACCCTCCACGCTCACTTCAGTGGAACGTTTGGCTGTTTGTTTTCATGGTGTGGTCCATTATAGATACTATGGCAAGACATTGAAGGTGAACAGGTTTTAAACACAAATAATAATTACCACCATACTTCTGGTGTGTACTAAACTAGAGGTATTGATTCATTAAATATGCACAGTTAAATATTTGCATTCATTTATAACTCAAAAATCAGAACATCGGATGAAGTCAATTTTGGTAATTTTAGAATAAAAGGTTTTGCAGATGAATTTTGAGCCTTTTTTATGTAAAACACACATGCACACACTAATATGTACACTTTAGGTACTAATATGCAGACTTGGGGTACTAATATGCACACATACTAATATTCACACTTTAGGTAATAATATGCACACTTTAGGTACGAATATGTACACTTTAGGAACTAATATATACACTTAAGGTAGTAATATTCAGACTTTAGGACCTAATTTTTACACTTTAGGTACTAATATGCACACTACACGTGCTACTATGCACACTTTAGGGACTAATCTGTGCACTTTAGGTACTTATATGCACACTTTAGATAACAATACTCACACTTTAGAAACAAATGTTCACTCTTTAATAGCACACTTTAGGAACGAATATGTACACTTTAGGTAATATTATATATACTTATGGCACTAAGATTCACACTTTAGGTACTAACATGCACACTTAGGTGCAAAGATGCACAATTTAGGTTCTATGCACAGTTTGGGTATTAATATACACACATACTAATATTCACATTTTAGGTAAACCTTAGGTACTAATACGCACACTTTAGGTACAAATATCACACTTTAGTTAATAATACGCAAACCTTTTAATTAAACTTCACTATTTAGGTACTAATATTTACACTTTAGGCAGTACGGCTGGGTCAGTTGGCATTTCTCTGTGGAGTTTGCTCCAGGTTCTCCAGTTTCCCCCACAATCCAAGACATGCACTATAGGTGGATTGAATAAACTAAATTGGTCAAAGAGTTTGTGTGAATGTAAGAGTGTATGGTCGTTTCCCAGTACTGGGTTGCATCTGGAAGTGCATCCGCTGTGTAAAACATGCGCTGGATAAGTTAGCGTTCATTCCACTGTGGCAACCCCTGATAAAATAAAGGGACTAAACTGAAGAAAAATAAATTAATTAATTAATGAATATTCACACTTTAGATACTAATATTCACAAACTTTAGGTATTAACATACTCACTTTAGATACTCATCTGTACACTATAGGTATTGATATGTCTTTTAAAGGTACCTATATGAAACTTAAAGCTACAAACATACTTAAAAAGGTACCTCCACAGTCACAGCATTTGGACTAATTTCTGACAGTGCAAGAAAATTTTGAGTTTTTAAAATTGTTTTGTTTTAATGAAAACCTATGAACTAATGGTTGGCAAGTTAAAAGGTCAAGTGGTGAAGAAAAAACTGAAAAAAGTGTTTAGTAAAATAAGCTTGATCTAATTGAGAAAGCACACAGTGTAGATGTTAATGCAGATCTGTACTAACTTTCCTTTTATTTTCCAGACATTGAACAAAATGGCATCGACTTCACCAGACAAGTGAGTATACAAACATTGCTTTACTAAATGGTCATCATCAGAAAATGAACCAGATAGATACACAGAGCAGTACATAGCTACACTTATATGCAACGTTTTCTTTAGTCCTCATTAGTTCTGTCATATGATCTATTGGTAAGGACAGTGAAAGGTTTCGTGCGCAGGAACTAAGCTTCAGGCTTGGAGGGTATTTGCATACTGTGCCTGCGGGAAGGGAAGGAATGTTTGTTAAAGGCCCTCTCCTGCAGAACAAGTCCAGCAGCCTTACTGGTCTCTGAGTACACACATAAAACACACACACACACACATGCCTGAGGACCAAAACACAACTGTAAAATGTGCTCTGGGTTTGAGTTACCTAACATAGTCTTTGTTTGGTGTACAGATTAAGACCGAGAACCTGAACGATTCACCACATTCTGGATCTTCACACAAGACATGCCACTTAACTCAGGGATCACCGCTGCCTCCTGGCCAGCTGACTGGGGTATGTTTCTATCTCAGGCATAGAGAGGCTGGAAATGCATCAACTTTAGATGTTTGGGTGATATTTAAGTTCATGCAGTGGTCAAAA